TTTTCAAAAGTATTCTATAAAATTAGCCAATAGAATACTTCATTTTAAAAAGTTCTAAAAAGCTTGTTATATGCCTAGAAGCGTCATATAAATCTATTGTAATGTTTTTTTGGTAGGATGCTTTGTAGTTTGTGCCTATAAAATTATGTTTATAAAGTACTCTACTAGGACATTTAGACATTCTAGGCGTCCTATCAAACCAATTGTGTTATAGAGAGGCCATCGGGAAGATGGGACAGGAAAGACCCAGAGTGGACGGAAGTGCATAATTTTTTTTTTCTGCCCCACCAAAATAGATAGAACAAACATCAGGAAGATTGGTAAATTACTTGACTACCCGTGTCACATTAAAACCCTAAAACCTACTACAATTCTTTATCTGTCTACCTCACTCTCTTCCCCAGTCCTGTCCAATCTTGTCTGCATACCAAATGCATCTTAAATAAATTCCTCGTACAAAAACAAATAACCTTTGTACACCAGGGTATCATGCAAATCTTGAATGAAATACGTTTGTGTTTGTTCAACAGTCACGTGTTAAGCGGGAAAGCTTAAGGCGGGAATTTTTATGCACGGCTTCACAATCGCGTATGATGGAGAAGGAATTTGGCTCCACCGTTAAGAAAGAATGCATCGTGTGTTATTATGATTTATATCTTTCCGCTACCGCCTGTTTGTGCTCGCTCGACAGATACACTTGTCTCGAACATTCAAARCAATTATGTTCTTGTCCTTGGAGCTCCCGGATGTTCCTATTCCGTTACAATATCGATGAGTTGAATCTCCTCATTGAAGCTTTAGAAGGTAAACTTAACGCACTTTACCGATGGGCCGAAGAAAACCGCGAAATTTTTTCTAATGATCGCGATGATAAGTAATAYCCATTGTAAAATGGTTTGTTGTTTCAGGGTATAATCTAATATTCTTTTTTAAATAAATACCAGATAAAACCCTGAAATAACAAACCATTAAAAATGTGTTCTTTTTAAACCTTAAAAGGTGTCACCATKATTTGAACTTGATGTTGCTTGTGTTTCCCATTCTTTTAGGCATTAGAAATTTAGAATAAAGTATGTTTTGTTTTAGTTTTAAGAGGACAATATATACATCAACTTTGTAAGTATATTGGGATTTTATTTTATTTTAACCATGGGTTTGTAAGTTGGGGCCGTTTACCAAATGCTTACCTTAGCAAGTGTTTGTCAAATCACATTACATTATCGGATTAATATGGTAAGGACTAAAAATCTTACCCGGTAAGAGCAAGACAAGGACCAGGAGTCTTACCCGGTAAGTGTGGGCAACGACTCTTACCATGATAAGTGYTTACCGGGTAAWTTGTTGCATACAGTGCTGCTTTGATGGACTAAAATCTTACCCGGTAAGTAAATGATAGTGTTAATTTTTGCCGGTAAGCACTTACCGRATAAGTGTTTGGTAAACGGCCCCTTAGCTTTGTGCGTACCTCGATTAATCTCATGGGGTTATGAGAACAGCTAGGAAAGGAGCTAAGAAATAACAAACCATTAAATGAGAATGCCGACTGTTTAAGAGAAACGTGTAAAATCACATGTGATTATATATTGACGGCCAAAACAAGTGTGCTTGTAATATCTTGAAGGTTTTGCATTTGATTTTTAATGTTAGATATTGTTAAAAATTCAATTTTTTTTACAATTTCAGGTTTAGGGGGTAATTATTTAATCTTTTGATCTTATATTAGAATTAACTATAAAAATTAAAATACACAAACTACACTTGGTATTGTCATATATACATATTTTTAATTGAGTTTGTGGTTAATGGGAACTGGACTGGATCCATAACTGATGAAACAAAGTGGACTATGATTAGAGTTTATTAATTATTTTWTATCAGGAAACAATCGACATATTTATAAAATCAGATATTCTTTAGACTATATAGAGGGTTGAAATTGGTTTATATAATTTGTAACTTTTCCATTGTTTGTTTGTAATTACATAACAATGTACATAACTTAGAAATAAAAAGGAAGTTCTTTCACAAAGTTAATTATGATAAACATATGGCATTGCCTATATGCCCATTAGTTTTAACAAGTCAGTCCGGGTAGGGCGGGTCCAATGGGCTATCTCACCTGTGAACAACTATAAATATGATCAACGCTTTATATTAGAAAAATAATCRAAATATTTACGAAATCATGTATTTTTGTTAGACTAGATTAACGGTTGAAATTAGTCTATATGGTTTGTAACTTTTTCATTTTGATTGGATATATATGTATATG